CCTCCTCCTCCTCCTCCTCCTCCTCCTCCTCCTCCTCCTCCTCCTCCCTCTTCTCTCCTCTCTCCCTGCGGAGCACCCCACGTGCAGCAGAAACCAAAACGGGAGCGGCACAACAGAAGGAGGAGTTCTTGAGGGGAAGGCAGATGGGCAAGAGTCCCCGCCGAAGCCGCGCGCTCCCTGCGTGCGCGACGCAGGCACCCAGCCATGGAGAAGGAGGCACTTCTCCAGGACCTGGAGTTCCGAGGCGCCTGTGATTCGGGCGAGGAGCGAGGACGAGAGGCGCAGGGGAGGCAGAAAGCAGGCCAGCCCCAGCAGGACTAGCGCCTCCAGGAGGCAAGAGAGGGAGAAGAGAGACGGGAGGGGGAGGAGCTGCTTGAATCTCTCGGCAGGGTCGAAAAAGGCGCTTGAAGCCAGGAGCCCTCCGCCTACGCCGTCACGGTTGTACTGGCCGCGTGGCCGATGCGATGCTGCGCGCTGGCTGGACGACGAGGCCGCGCACCGCCCTACCCGTAATCGCTCGCTTCGAGCGCGCGAGTCTCTCTGTCCTGCCCGACGCGCACCGACCGGGGCGGCTCCTGAGGCGACCATGGCGGCTCCGAGGCCGCATCTGCAGGCGATCGTGGGAGCTCCGAGGGCCCACATGGAGCGGCCCAGGGGACTGGGTCAATGCCACTGGACGACACCTCCGCGGCTGCTGGCACGCGGCGGTCCCGGAATGGCAGCACAGACTGGGGCTGAATTGTGGACATGCTGCCGAAAAGCTGACATGATGACGTGGGGATTGACCCTCGCTTTCCACGCAGGCTACGGCGCACTGCTGCGTGCTACCGCTGCTGCGTGTTGTTGCTGACTGTGGCTGCAGAACGCCGCTGATGGCCAGTTTTGCGTGGTGCGTGGTGCGTGGTGCTACCCGCTGCCTGCTGCTGCTTCAGGTTGTTGTGCGCTGCCGCTGCTGCTGTCTGCTTCGTGCTGCGTTCTGCTGCCGTTCGCTGCTGCTGCTGCTGCTGCTGCTGCTGCTGCTGCTGCTGCTGCTGCTGCTGCTGCTGCTGCTGCTTGGTGCTACCAGGTGTTGTTTCTCGCGACGCCCGCTCGTTGGCGCAGCTTGCTGGCAGGAGGGGCTCGAGGAGTTGGGATCGAGGAGATCGAGGAGGGAGGGGGAAAGCGAGGAGCGAGGAGATCGAGGAGGGAGGGGATCGAGGAGCGAGGAGCGAAAAGATCGAGGAGGGAGTTGGGATCGAGGAGATGGGGGAGCGAGGGGGGAAAGCGAGGGGCGATCAGCGAAGCGCGAGAAGCGAGAAAGAACGCGGCTGGTGAGGAGAGAGGGGGGGGGGCGACGAGGGAGGAGGGAGCGCCGAGGAGGGGGGAGGCGAGAGGGGCGAGGGACCAATGCCTTGTGGGTCTCTTAGAGCATCGTGAGGGGAGGCCTCTTGGTGTGTCTCTCGGGGGGCCCTTCTTGGGGAGGGGGGCTTCTTGGGGCATTCTTGGGGCCTTCTTTGAAGCTTCTTGGGGCCTTGTAGGGGCAGTCTTGCTCATTGGGGCCTTCTTGGGGCCTTCTTTGAGGCTTCTTTGGCTCCCATGCGGTGCTCCCAAACCTCCGACAGCCATCTGGGCGGCCCTTGGGGCCACTGGGAGCTGTGTGAGTGGGGTGCGGGGACGTTCGGGGGCGGCCCTGGAGGCCACGTTAATGCGTTCATGCGCCGCCCTGGCCCGTCTTGGGGCCGTCTTGGCGGCCTCTTCGACCGTCTCGGAGCCCTGCAAGACCGTTTGGGAGACCTGCTGGGCCGTCTGCGCCGCCGTCTGGGGTCGATCTCGGGGGCTCCTCGGGCCGATCTGGGCGTCCAGAGGCTCGAAAAAGCAAGCAAGCGTGCGGAGACCGTGCGAGAACCATCCGAAATGCACTGCTTCTGCGCCAGGGGTCCTCTTTTGGAGGCTTCTGGGGGGCGTGTGTGGGGCCTCCTTTGGGCCATCTTGGACAGCCTCGGGGCACTCCCCTGACCTTCCAGAAAGCTATAGTTTAGCACTGGAGGCCTAAAAACCTAGAAAACTCAGCGAAACAGCCTAAAACCAAGGCGTAGAATCGCTTTGGGATAGGTTTTTACGTCGGGTGTTTTTTGTTAGCCCTCCTGGAAGGTCAGGGTCTTTGTCGGCCCTCTTGGGCGGCCCTCCTCCTCCTCCTCCTCCTCCTCCTCCTCTTCTTCTTCTTCTTCTTCTTCTTATTATTATTATTCTTATTGTTCTTCTTCTTGTTATCATTATTAGTATTAGTATTATTCTTATTGTTGTTATTATTAGTATGATTATTATTATTCTTAGTATTCTTATTATTATTAATATTATTATTTTGTTTAGTCTTACTATTCTCCTTCTTAGTATTATTATTCGTCTTATTGTTATTAGTCTTCTTCTTATTCTGATTATTAATATTATCATTAGCATTATTATTAGTATTATTATTAGTATTATCATTCGTCTTCGTCTTCTTATTATTCTTCTTCTAATTAGTATTATTATTGATCTTATTCTTCATACTATGATTCGTCTTCTTATTATTATCATTCTTATTATTTTTCTTATTATTATGATTATTCTTCGTCTTCGTCTTCTTCTTCTTATTATTATTATTCTTCTTCTTCCTCCTCTTCCTCCTCCTCCTCCTCCTCCTCCTCCTCCTCCTCCTCCTCATCATCATCATCCTCCTCCTCCTCCTCCTCGGGCGGTCGAGCGCCTCGCTTGACACGTCTTGGAGCTCTCTTTCGGCCCCCTTGGGGTCTCGCAGCGCCCCGGGGGGCGCCCGGGAGCGCGCCGGGGCCAGCTGGGCCGATCTTACACCACTTTTGAGGCCTCCAAGACGCCCCAAGAGGCCTCGACGAGGCCTCACAAGGAGGCCCCAAGAGGCCAAAATCGCTGCTTTTCCCGGGGTCTTTGAAGACTCCTAGCGTTCTCGCCTGCTCCGCATTCCGGCGCTCCAAGACGGCACATGGAGCCCCCCGTCCGCCCTGAGAAGCCACCAGGAGGCCCCAAGAGGCGCCCAGAATAGGCCCCCGAGAGGCCCCCAACAGGACCCTAAGAGGCCCAAAAAGACTCCCAAAAGAGGCCCCAAAACGGCCCGCTTGAGGCCTCCAAACTGCATCCAAGAGACCTCAGAGAGAGGACTCCCACGAGACACTGACGAACATTCACTAGGCGTCACACCCACGACCCAGACACAGTGGCAGGATGGGCCGAAGGCCGCTAGATAGATACAGTCATCGCATCAGGAACGCTGAGACAGGGACGAAGGAGTTTTCTGAAAACGGCGAGCCTCGGACACGACGAGTCCCCGAGCTACATCTTGGCAACGGCCCTAAAACCAGAAGCTCCTGAACCAAGACTGGTCCTTATTCCAGCGTTTTGACTTTATGATGATGTCGAGCTCCAGTTTCACCTCCCACATCTCAGTGAGCAGCGTCAGAGCCCACGGCCACTGCTCGCCCTTCTCGCACGCGCTGGTCCCAGCGCTGTAGCTGACTAGGGCCGACCCGTGGACACCGTCCACGACATCTTTCAGGAATGGTTCTCGGAGGGACGGCTAATATTTTGCCGAAAACCTATAAGCACGGCGGCGGCGGGGGCGGCGGCAACGAGACCGCGCTTTCGTATGGCCTGTATGGCCGCCGTGGGCACCGTGGACACGAGGAAAACGTATGTGTTCAAATTGTACGTCTTCCCACGCTTTGTGGCGAATTTTGCTTCTGGGAGCCCTCTTTTGGACGTCTCTTAGAAGGCTCGGAGGCCTCCTTTGATTTTTTTTGGGGGGGGGGCTCTTGGGGCCGTCTTGGGCGTTGGGCCTTCTTAGGCCGTTTGGGGGGGTCTTGGGCGCCTGTAGGGCTGCCTCGGGCCCGTCCTCTTCTAGCCCTCTTGGGCTGTCCTGGGCGCCTCTTGGGCTGTCCTGGGGCCGCCCGGGACCGTTCTGGGGCCCCCTGGAAGCTCTCATGGGGCGATCTTGGGGGCCAGTATGGCTGTCGTGGGCGCCGTGGACACGAGGAAAGCGAATATGTTAAAATTGTGCGGTTTCCCAAGGTTTGGGGCGCAGCACTCTTGGATGTCTCTTGGAAGGGCTTGGAAGCCTCCTTTGGGCCTCTTCGAGGCCTCTTGGGGCCGTCTTGGGCGCCTCGTGGGCCGTCTTAGGCCGTTTATGTAGGGCGGTCTCGGTCGCCTCTGGGGCTGCCTCGGGCCCGTCTTGCGCCGCTCTTCGAGCCCTCTTGGGCTGCCCTGGGCGCCTCTTGGGCTGTCCTGGGGCCGCCTTGAACCGTCCTGGGGCCCCTGGGAGCCCTCTTAGGGCGTCTTGGGGCGATCTATGTTAAAATTGTGCGTCTTCTCTCGGGATTGGGACGAATTTTGCTTCTGAGCCCTCTTGGACGTCTCTTGGAAGGAATTGGAGGCCTCCTTTGGGCCTCTTGGGTCCGTCTTGGGCGCCTCTTGGGCCGTGTCAAGCTGTTCAGGGTGGTCTTGGGCGCCTCTAGGGCTGTCTCGGGCCCGTCTTGTGCCGCTCTTCGAGCCCTCTTGGGCTGTCCTGGGCGCCTCTTGGGCTGTCCTGGGGCCGCCTGGGACCGTTCTGGGGCTCCCTGGAGGCCCTCTTGCGGCGTCTTGGGGCGATCTTTGGGGCCTGTATGGCCGTCTTGGACGCGTTGCGGACGCAAAGCGCAGGAATTGCAAAAATGCAAGTTTTCCCTAGGGATTGGGACGATTTTTCCTTGTTCGAGCTCTCTTGGGCCGTCGGGAGGCCATCTTGGACGTCGTGGAGCGCTCTTGGACCTTTTCGGAGGCCCTCTTGGGCCGTCTGGGGCCGTCTTGGGGCCCTCGTGAAGGCCTCCAGGGGCGTCTCGGAGCGCTCTTGGGCCATCTTGGAGCGTCTCCGAGCGCGCCGGGGCCTGCTGGGGCTCGCAGGGGCCTGCTACGCCATTTTGGTCCGAATCGCCTCTCTCACACGCGCGGGGCCCTGCACTGTAGTATAGACTAGGGCGAACCCGTGGACTTCGCCCACGACCTTCGGGTCCCCCACGGTGCGCCTCGCAGGCTCTGGAAACTTACTTCTGCTTGTCCTGTCGCAACCTGAGGGCGGGCGCTGCCTCCTCCGAGGGATAGTTCGGGAGCTCCTCGGAGCTTCCTTTCGGCAGCCTGGACGCCTCCGGCGGCGCCCCCGGGGCGTGGGCGCCGCTCGGCCTCCTGGGGGCCTCTTGGGGCTCTCTTGGGCCGTCTTGGGTGCCGCTGGGGCCGCCCAGGGCCGTCTTGGGCGCCTCTGCGGCCGTCTAAATATCGTCTTGGCGCCGTCTTGGGCAGCTCTTGAGGCTGTCTTGGATGCCTCTTGGGTTGTCATGGGCGCCTCAGGAGCCGTCCGGATGCTGTGTTGGGCCCTCTTGGGGCCCTCATGTGGCTGCCCTGAGAGGTCTTGAGGCACTCTTGGGAGCCTGTATGGCCGCCGTGGAAACGTCGGAGACGAAAAGCACGGGAATTACGAAAATGATGGTTTTCCCTAGGAGTTGTGACGATTTATTCATGTTCGGGCCCTCTCGGGGCCCTTCTCGGTGCCCCGTCGGGACGTTCTGGAGGCGTCTAAGCCATGTAGAAGGAACTTTGGGCGCCTTGGAGTCTCTCTTGGACGGCCTTGGGACCCCTTGGCTGTAAGGGCGCGAAGGGGTTAAATGCCTTCACTTTGAAAGTGAGTTTCAAAGTTTCGTGACTTTGCATTACTGTAAAGTTTCGTTGGAAGTCAAAGTGAAAGTCGGGGCGACTTTGACTTTGGGTTCTAACAAAATTTTCAAAGTGGGTTTGAAAGTCAAAGTGGAAGTACTTTCGCTGTGACTTTCAAACCCAACGTAAAAGTCGACGTCTTCGACTTTAACCTTGACTTTCACTAGACTCTGAAAGTGAAATAACAGATGAAGATTACTAGGACCGTGGGTGCGGGAAGTGAGTGTGTGTGTGTGTTGTGTGTCGGGAGCTGTGGGGTGTGTCGGTGTGTGTGTGTCGGTGTGTGTGTGGGTGTTTGCGGCTGTGTGTGAGAGTTAGTAGAGGTGTGTGTGTGTGTGGCTGAGTTTCTGGGGTGCTTCTGGTATTTGTATCAGTGTGTCTGTGGTGTGTGCTTGTGTGTCTGTTGGTGTGTGTAGGTGTGTGGGTGTCTATGTTGGGGGGGTGTCTAGGGTGGGGAGCATGTATCTTCAACCGAGGTTACCGCTGGTGGACTCGTAGTGGCTCTTTCTCATGAAGTTCTCTCGTCAAGTTTGAGGTCTGTGTATGAGTGTGTTGGTGTGTGTGTGTTGGTGTGTGTGTGTGTGCGTCGGTGTCTGTGGGAGTGGTGCGGGTGTGTCTGAGGGGGTTGTTTGTCAAGGTGTGTGGGGGTGTGGGGGGGGGAGGGGCTGTCTTCGTGTGGTGGGTTTTCTGGGCCGTGGCGGGAACGTGGGGGTGTGTAGGGGGTTTATAGCTGTGTATGGGGTCTTTGTGGAGGTGTGTGAAGGTGTGTGTATGGCTCTGTGTGTGGGGGTGCATGCGAGTGTGGCTGTGTGTGAGGAAGTTGTTGTGCAGGTGTGTGTGTGTGGGTTGGTGTGTATAGGTGTGTGTGTGTGTCCGTGTATATGTGGGTGTGTGTGGTTCTGAGTGAGGGGCTGTCTGTGGGGGTCTAAGGGTGTGGGTGGAGGTGCGTGTCTCGGTGTGTGTGGTGTGTGTGTGGGTGTGTGAGTGAGTGTGTGTGGGTGGGTGGGTGAGTGTGTGGGTGGGTGTGTGGGTGTGCGGGTGGATGTATGGGTGTGGGTGTGTGGGTCGTGCCACTTTGACTTTGGGTTTGAAAGTGGGTTTCAAAGTGGGTTTGTCTTGGGCCGCTCTTGGGGCTCTCCTGCCTGCCGTCGTGGGCCGTCGTGGGCGGCTCGGGAGCCGTGCTGGGGCCGCCGTGGGTCGTCCTGGGGCCGCCAAGTCCTCGGCCCGCCCGGCAGGGCCCGAGGCCCTCGCCCCAGGGTGTCTTCTTCGCCCGGGTCCGGCTTCCCCCGGGCTGCCCGGTGGGCTGCGGCGGCTGGGCTCGAGCTGCGCCCGCCGCCTGCGCAGGGCGCGTCGTCGGAGGTCCCTCGAACGTCGGAGCCTGTGCGGGGGGGGAGGAGCCGGTCGGTTCCAGGTGGCGTGATGGGGCGCGCCTGCGCCGCGCGACTCCGCGCAAGGCTCGCGGTGGCATGTGGGGGCGCGGGTGGGTGGGGGGCCGTCTGCCTGCGCTGCCGAAGCCTGACGGCGGGCACTGCCTTCTGCATGGGAACCGGTCGGGAGCCCTCGGGGGGCCTTCCTTTCGGCCTCCAGGGGGCCTCTTGGGGCCCTCTTGGGCCGTCTTGCGGCCTCCTGGGGGCCTCCGGGGGCCCTCTGGGGCCGTGTGGGGTGCCTCATGAGGCGTCTTGGGGCGATCTTGGGGGCCTGTGTTGGCGTCTCGGACGTCGAGAAAACGAAAACCACGGGAATCGTGAAAATGTCCTTTTCCCTCGGGGTTGAAGCGATTTTTCTTTGTTCGGGCTCTCTTGGGGCTGTTCTTGGAGCCCACTTGGAGCGTTTTGGGAGCCTCTTGGGCCGTCTGGAAGCTATCTGGGGCGTCTGCGCGTGGTCTTGGCCTGTCTCGGAGGCTCTCTGGGACCGTCTTGGACTGTCCTGGGGCCTTCTTGGGGGCCTCCAGGGACGTCTCAGGGCGCTCTTGGGCCATCCTGGAAGCCCGCCGGGGCCTGCTGGGGCTCGCAGGGGCCGCTGGGGCGCAGGAGGGCAGAACCGTGCCGCCTGCGCTTCTGGCACGCGCGGGGCTCTGCAATGCAGCAGAGACTAGGGCCGGCCCGCGGCAGTCCGGGCGCGGAATCTGCCCGCCATGGCGTGGCCTCCGCACTGGGGCCGCTCAGGCGCCCAGAGCACCGCAGGATCACCGATAGGACGCTGGAGGAACTGTCCAGTTGGTCTACTTGGGATGCGTGTTAGGAGCCTTCTCGCCCTCCTCGTCTTCCCCTGGATCCTTCAGCCCGTCGATCTTCGTTAGGAGCCGTCTCGGTGTGTCTGGACCCTCTGGGGGCATCCTTCGGGTAATGCTCGGGACATGTCGGTGGGTCCTGTCGGCTTGTGGGGCAATTGTGGACGTCCTCCTCCTCCTCCTCCTCCTCCTCCTCCTCCTCCTCCTCCTCCTCCTCCTCCTCCTCCTCCTCCTCCTCCTCGTCCCTCGATCCTTCATCCTGTCGATCTTCGATCGTCAGTCGTCGACGCTCCCCGAGAGAGAAGCATCGAAGGCCCCTTAGGGGCCGTTTGGGGGCCTCTTTTCCTCCTGGGGGTCTCTCGGGGCCTTCTTGGGCCGTCTGGAGTGCCCCTGGAGCCGTCTTGGGGCGATCTGGGGCCGTCTGGGGCGCCTCTCGGGCCATCTTGGGACCGTCTGGGGGCTAACTTGGGCCGTTATTGGGCACTCTTGGGGCTGTCTTGGGTACCTCTTGGGCCGTCCTGGGCGCCTCTGGAGCCGTCCCCAGAGC